TCAGTGCAGTGGAGCTGCTGATGAGACTGTGGGATCCTCAGGGGTCAGGACACACATTTCCCATTACCCTTCTGATGGCAAAAATCCTCTGAGCCAATGCCAACCTCTGATCATTAAAAAAAAACGTGCTCACGGCAGTGTGTGGTTTAGGACCATGCCCTGTGTGGTTTGGAACACATGCACAACCATACCTTGTTCATCACCATCCCAGAAACCCTGACGCAGGCAAAGAGCAGAGTTATTAACCCTACTTTACTGATGTGCAGATTGAGGCCCAGAGGCTCATGCAAGTTCTCAGTAAATGGCAGGGACAGTTGCCTCTAGATTAACTGACCCCTGAGATCACCTGGGTCTTGGAAGGGGGCCCATACACATGAGCTCCCCTCTCTTGGGGCCAGATTTGCACCTGTGCCGTGCCTTCAGCCTGTATGAAGTAGGGGATGCTGGCAAAGACTCAAACCTCTGAATCTGGGTTTTCTCTTGAGGCTTCTAAGGGAGCTGTTTCGACAACTCACTCTGTTCCCAGCTGACTGCCCCTGCATGGGGTTTTAAAGCAGCCTAGCTTTCTGCCAGGCTTGGCAGTGGACAATGCTGGTCAGTCAGAAGGTCCCAGAGAGCTACCAGAATGAAGTAAATGTGCTTCTACTCTTTACCTGTTTATGGGCTGTCTCTGCCACTGGAATGAAAGGCAATGAGAACAGTGCCTGGCCTGCAGAAGGCCCCGGAGATACCTGAGCTTCTAATCTGGGAGGGGAAAGCATCAGGGTAGGAAGAGCTTTGGAGGCAGGGCACCTGAGTTTGAGATGTGAATTTACAACTTCCTGCCTGTGTGACATTGGGAAAGTCTCCATCCTTTCTGAGTCTCAGTCTCCACCCTGGGGAAGTGGAAATATCAATCTCTGTGACACAGAAGCAAATGAGCTAATGTGCACAAAGTACCTTGCACAAGAGAGACGCTCAACCACTTGCCTCCAGGTTTCACCAAGAACTACAGAGTAAGATAGATTTGTTCCCAGTGGAGGAAGCCTGGGAATAATTTGCTCCTAGACTATGAATTCCTGGGGCTCAAGATCTAGCACAGGGCTGGGCACAGAGAAGGGACCCTGGAAACGTAGCAGGAGGCCAGAGATAAACAAGCCCTTAGAGCTCATACCTATGCCCTCTGACCTCAAGAAGAAAGAAACCTGCTCAAAGTCTCACAAAGAGCTTGCTCCAACCCTGGATCAAGTCTGAGGTCTCCTTCCTGAGTCCAGCACTTTTTTTTTGCAAGAAGTATATGCCTCCAAAGCTGATGGGCACAAATCTTGAACCCCATCACATACACACCAAGGGAGGAGGTGACTAGAGCTCCTCCTACTGGGTATGCCTAAGGTCACCGGTCTAAAGAAAAATGACCGACAGAATGGGGCCAGTACTTTTGTAGCCATCCAAATGTCCACATACCCTGTTACACTAAGGGCTCCTCTCTCCCCCTTCTTCAGCCCCACTTGCATTTAGAGGTGAGAAAGATGTGGGCTGAGGGGTTGTTTTTCGCCATATTGTAGACTGAAAGCACACTGCACTTGGAGCCATCCAAATGAGGACCCTTGACGTAGCGCCCCACCTTCTGGATGGCCATCCCTCTGAAAGTCACTGAATTTCTCAGACTTTATTCTCTTTATCCATAAAGAAGGAGAATAATAATAATCCCCCAACCCTGCCCAACCACTGACTGGTTGGGAAGCTCAGAAGAAATACTGGGCACGGCATCCCATTGTAGTCTGTAGAGTGAATCGCTTCTTAACATTAAATGGCTGAACACAGAAGATGTGCAAAGAGCACTGTGTCCCCTTCCTCCTCCAACTGAACATTTCATGTCCTTCACACCCCCGTTTTGTCTAGGAGCTGCCTTATGAAGGGAATAGGTGCCTGCTCCGAGCTGGAGGAAACTGCCACTTACGGTGAGGTGTAGACTGAGACAGAGATGGCATGTGACATGCACACTGAGTCTCAAATGTTCAAAAAGTCAAACTCTTCTGTTCCCTAGATCGCCAGAGTCATTAAGCAGTCACACTATTAAATGAATGAACAGACGCTGAAAAGGTACTTGCATTACTGAGATTTCTTATGGTGATGGCCCCTGCCTGATATGTATTCAGCGTTTTGTAGTTTTCAATATGCATTAGAGTATAGTGGTGATGACACTGGTCTCTGAGTTTGTCACTTTCTTCTATCTGTGACTTTGGTCAAATTGCTTAACCTCTCTGAGTCTCGGTTTCCTGGAGATGATAATAGCTTCTTCTTCCCAGCGTTATCATGAGGATTACAGGAGATAATGCCCCACGAATGCTTAGTAAAGTGCCTAGCACCTAGTCAATGCCGAATTAAAGGTGGTTATTCTTACTTTTGGTTCATTTGAACTTTGTTCTCAGGGAGGGCAAAGGATGAACAAAGCCTCATAGCTAGTGAGGAGTAGCTGCAAGACTAAAACCCTGGCGTTCTGAGCCCTAGTCTTAGGCCAAGAACAACTGTTACGTGAGATGCGCGTTTTCCTTCAAGGGAGCTCACAATTATTTCCATGTAAATTCAAGGACTGCTTAAAGAGAACTCTCCTCTGGGACTGGTATCAGTTTATTTTAAGATTGATTTGAAACATGTTTTTTGTTTGTTTGTTTGTTTTCTGGGAAAGAACAAGAGAACCAGTCAAGCTGAATGCCTGAAGCAAATCTCTCTTAGCGATGCTTTCAGGATGAGGGAGAGTGGTGCAAGAAATATGCTTCCAGATGCACAGGGTTTCCTGGGACTAGGGTTCAGGGTGTCATCCCTGGCTGTTATGAAGTGTCAGAAGGTGAACAAACAAGGGAAACATCTGAGATCCAGCTAAGGCTACACCCTGGAAATGCAAGCCCAGCTCTTGCAAAGGACCTGCTTCGGCCACTCACCTTCCAGGCCTTATAGTAACTTGTTTGGACAGCAGGTTTCTTGGCGGACTCACAGGCCATTCTGCTTTTATTTGGTTAACCTCAGTCCACAAGCACCCAGATGCTGAGATCCTCAGTGTGTGCAGCAGTTTCATATTAGCACTGGGTACCTTTCTGAGACTACAAGGATACCATACAGCAGCACCTGTCATGTCCAGTCAAAGGAGTGGGCTCTCTCAGTGTCATCCAATGCTGTTTCAACTGTGAAGAAGACCATCTGAGAGAGTTGCTTTTGGAGCCTAAGACAAATTTTTAAAATTCTTTGATCTCCTCAACTGGGGTGAATTCTTGGTCTAGGACAGCTTGAAGTTTTAGAAAGAGTCAAGCCACTCAGAACCCAACAGGGAACTCTTTCAGAGAATGAGGTGTGGCATAGAGGAGGCAGAGGGCTGATCTTGATCAAGTCCAAAGTGTGACTCTAGAGTAATGAATGTGAATTTTTGGCAAAGTTTACAAAGGGCTCTAAAGGCCATCTGCAAAGAGAAGCCAAGCCCGGAAATGAGGTAAGCAATGACAACTTCTCCAGAGTAAACGCACAGATGGCCACTCCAAGGACCTACTCTAAGGACAGCCCCCACTGGAATCTGTGCATTCAACTGTGCACTGATCAAAACCAAAGCAGTTACTTACTGGTCACACTTTTTAAGAGTGTTGGAGGAGTTGGGGAGAAGGGGAAGAGGACCCCTGCATCCACAGTCCATCAACCTTTTCTCCTACAGTTTGGCTCAAGTGAATGGAAACAAGTGGGAAACAAAAGAGAAATTTAAAGTCATGCTAAAACTGATCATGGACTCTGGGAGCATTATTAGGTTTTTCTTTACTGACTCAATTGTTGATCATAAGAGAGAAGCATGAAATATAAAGGGTAATTAGAATGGAGGTTAGAGATTTCTTTCTAGAAGAGGCCTAAGGCCTGGAAATTTGGACAGTCTGCTGGTCAAGTAATGTCTCTATCTCTGCCATCCCACCTGATTGCAATCTCTGTGAGAACTGGTGACTGCAGTAAACAGTTTTGTAAATGTCTACATGCTCAACTTGATAGCACATTCTCAATACACTGTTGGTGGTTGACAATGAGGAAACAAAGAGAAAACAAGATTTCAATCGCCTCCTTCCACATCTGTGCACACATCACAATTCTAAAATAAATAGAAAGCTGACTTGCTGAAAGTGGATTGCCCTGGGAATTGGAGAAGACAGGCCCTCTAGTTATGTGAAATGGCATTACCTCAGAGCCCAGGGCTTCCAGTTCTATGAAAAGGAAGGAAGCCGACCCACGGCTCTGTAAGAGCCATTTCCTCTCTGCTCTATTAATTTCAGAGATTAAGCAAGCCACTCCTCTGTGGTCCTAATACCCTGAGATAATAGCTATTGTGTTTGCTGCAATTCCTGCTAACAGAGCTAATCTTGGTAGATTGGTGGTGTTGCCGGCTTTTATTGTCAAATTAAACTAGTCAATGGCTCTCATAGTCCCTTCTATCATCTCCCTGCTCCTAGAACTACCACTAGAATCCCTAATCCTGAGTTTCAGAACACTTGGATGATATCTGAGTTCCCAGAGAGGAAAGTAGAAGTGTGTCAGATGAATTTTTAAAAGGACAACAGGGCCAGAAAGTTGAACGGGAAGCCCTCTCTGTGCCCTACTCACTAGCTTTTTGTTCTCAGTCATACTAGGAAGCTCGTGCGATATATCTAGTGCTTGCCATTCTGACTGGCTTCTATTAAGAGAAAAAGTAACCTCGTCTTCCCTCTCCTCAGCCTTCCTCATTTTTCTTATTGAATGAGTGCAATGCAGTGATCACTATTAGACTGGGAGTCCATATGGAGCCTTAGACTGTATTTCCAGCTCTTCTAGAAACCCACAAGGGGTGGGATCAGCTCATCTCCTAGATCTCTTCTAGATCACATTTGAGTTCTTTATATTTTGAGTTGGACCCCTGCCACCAAGTTTGCACAGAAAATTTCAATAACACATCTTACGTTCAAGTTTAAGATTAGAAGCATTCAACACCCCCCTCCCCCCATGGCCCATTGTCTGACCGATTCCTGGAGCTTTCTGGGCTCCTGACGATTTCCCACCATGGCGAAATGGGGAAGCATGCTCTTGATTACAAGCCGACTTTTCCAGTCATCCATTGTTTGACCTGCAATTTTATTCTTGACTCTCCAAGGCGTTTCCCAAACGACCTAGACACAGGGCTTAGGGAGACAAAAAGTACACTGTCTTTCAGATATGAAGATGAGACCATTGACCCCGTGAATCACAGACTTTCACTCTGAAGACAGGTTTGTGTGGAGTCAGCCACATTCCTTTTCCCTTCTTCCCACCCACCACCCTCATTGAGCACCCCAACCCCCAAGGATGAGGGGCATTTCTGTGAGACAGTTGGCTGGGATAAAATGACAGTCCTTGACCAGAGGAAAGAACAAAGTTCACTGGAAGGCAGAGGGGTGGATGGAAGAGCAGCTTCATGTGACTAAAACAACACTGGGCCTACAGGCATGGTATCTGGGTCCTAGGTCTGGATTTGCTTTTGTGTGATATGCAGTGGGATCCAGGGAAAGCTTCCTCTGTTCTATGAGATGCAATTTCTTTATATCAAAACATGGTGGCTAAATTAAGTGATGGCTTAGGGCCTCTTCAGTTCCACTAGAGTAAGTCTTATGGTTCATAGAAGCAGCAGCCACCAACTGTGGCACTGTTAGGATACAGCCAAGTGAGCTAACAGTTCAAAGCCTGACAGATACAGGAAGGGAACAATGGATATTGAAAGGGGCTCATGAAACCCTGGTGCACTGATTTACACAAAACTGACTGAGCAGGCTATGATCATGGCTGCTTCTCCATGACGGATAAGCAGACATATGCAAACCCAGGTAAAGTTTCATTTCTTTTTGTTTTTCATGATGTAAACATGAAATAAGAGCTCCACTAAGACATTAATATATAAGGACAGCTCTACTTCCCATAAACCTTCCCATAAACTGCCATGTTGGCAGTACAGCATCAGGCTGTAAAATCTCAATGTCCAAACCTCTGCCTCTGGAAAGATGGAGAAGTACTTTTCCCCATTCTCTCACTGAGTATCACTAAAACCTCTGGACGTTATATATAAAACAAACAAAATAAGACATTAAAAGGTGGAAAGAAAAAAGTATACTGGTTAGGGACCTTGGGACCTGAGCAATGATGCAGTGGCGAGTTCTCTGAATTTTGTTTTTGCCTCATATATACCAGACTTGGAGCTGAAGAAGCCAGAAACCCAGAATGCCATTGGGCACTAACAAAGAAGCCCCAACAAAAGCCTGTTCTTTCTAGCCAAAAGACCAGGAAAGAGGTAGCCTAGCAAGATAGAAAACTTTTAGACAATGACTGCTCTACTCCAGCCAAACACCATAGAAGAAAATGCAGTCCCATTATATTCCATCAACAAAAGCCAAATGAGGAGCCTAGACTCCACACCCACATAGCAGTAATGAGGTGCCCTTCCCTATCCCCACTAGAGTAGTATCAGAAAAAGCCTAGTGGGGAGTTGGAATTCTCACCACTGCCCAGCAGTAATGAGGAGCTCCACCCTCCCTGATGTCAATGAAGAATAAGATGGTGCCCCCCTTCCCTGCCAGAGCAGTGTCAGGGGAAGTCAGCTAAAACAGAAAATTTAAATAAGATCCAGTCTTATAATGCAATATCCAAACTGCCCAAGTTTCAGTAGCAAAGCACTTGTCATACCAAGAACCAGTAAGATATCAAACAGAATGGAAAATATTATCGGCAGATGCCAACAGTAAGATGACACAGACGTCAGAATTGCCTGACAAGGATTTTAAAGCAGTAATCATTAAAGTGCTTCAACCAACAATTACAACCATGCTTGGAAGCAAATGAAAAAAATACAGAAAGTCTCAGCAAAGTAATCAGAATTCTTAGCAGAGAAATAGAACATATAAAAAAGAACCAAATGGAAATTTTAGAAATGAAAAATACAATAATGGAAATAAATTCAGTGAATCGAATTAAGAAGAGAATGGTAAGAACAGAGGAAGGAATTAAGATAGAACAATAGAAATGACCAATCTGAACAACACAGAGAAGATATCCTGGAAAAAAAATAAACATAGACTCAAGGACATGTAGGATTACAAACAAAAGATCTAACTTTCATGTCACTGGAATTCCAGAAGGAGATGAGAAAGAGAATGAGACCAAAAAAAAAAAAAAAAACAAAAAAAAAAAAAAAAACTATTCAAAGAAATAATTGCTGAAAACTCCCCAAATTTGACAAAAGACATAAATCTGGAAATTAAAGAAGCTGAGTGAACCTCAAACAGTATAAATATAAAGAAATCCACTCCAAGACCTGTAATAACGAAATTTCTGAAACATGAAGAGAAAAGCCTTGAATGCAGTGAAAGAGAAATGATACCTTACCTATAGAAGAAAAATAATTTGAATGACAGTGAAATTTTGGTCATAAACCATGGATTCCAGAAGGAAGTAGCATAATATTTTTCAAGTGCTGAATAAAGAGAACTGTCAACCCAGAACCCTATACTCAGTGAAGATACACTTCAGACATGAAAGGGAGATCAAGACATTCTCAGATCAAGAGACACTAACAAAATTAGTCAACAACATGCCTCTACTAAGAGAATATCTAAAGAAAATTCCCTAAGCAGAAAAGGAATGATAAAAGAAAGAATATTAAACATTAGAAAGGAATAAAGACCAATGGAAAGAGAAAAAATTATGGGTAAATGTAATGGACTTTCCTTCTCCTCTTGAGTTTTCCAAATTATGTTTGAAGGTTAAAGCATGAATTATAACATTGTCTGATGTGTCTGTAAGTGTATGTGGAAGGAACATTTAACACAATTATATTATAAATAGAGGAGAGTAAAGGGGCGAAAGGAGAGGTAGGGTTTCTACACTGAAACTGGCAAAATGTTGACACCAGTAGATTATTATAAGTTAGGCATATATATAATGTAATACCTAGAGTGATCCCTTAAAATACTATACAAAAAGATAGATTCAAAAATGCTATATACGAAACAAATGGAATTCTAAACATTGTTCAAGTAACCCACAGGAAGTCAGAAAAAAGAAAATAGAAAAACAAAAAATCAGAGAACAAACAGAAAACAAAAATAAATTGGCAGAACTAAGCACTAATTTATCAATAAATACAATAAATGAAAATGGTCTAAACATACCAATTAAAAGACAGAAATTGGCAAAGAAGATAACATGATCCAATGATATGCTGTTGCAAGATGCTCACCTCAGATATAATGATTTAGGAAGGCTGAAAGTAGGCCGGGTGCGGTGGCTCACGCCTGTAATCCCAGCACTTTGGGAGGCCGAGACAGGCAGATCACGAGGTCAGGAGATCGAGACCATCCTGGCTAACACGGTGAAACCCCATCTCTACTAAAAATACAAAAACTAGCCGGGCGAGGTGGCGGGCGCCTGTAGTCCCAGCTACTCGGGAGGCTGAGGCAGGAGAATGGCGTGAACCCGGGAGGCGGAGCTTGCAGTAAGCTGAGATCCGGCCACTGCACTCCAGCCTGGGCGACAGAGCGAGACTCCGTCTCAAAAAAAAAAAAAAAAAAAAAGAATGAAAGTAAAATGATGGAAAAAAATACACCATGCAAATACTAATTTTAAAAAGTAACAGAGGTGGCTCTAGCGATATCAGATAAAGCAGACTTCAGAGCAAAAAAATAATAGTAAAATAAAATACCAGGGACAGATAGGGACATTACATAATGCTGAAAGTATCAATCCACCAATAAGACATAGTGCTCCTAAATGTGTATGCTTTAAACAGAAGACCTGCAAATATAGGAAGCAAACGTTTTTAGAACTGAATGGAGAAATAGAAAGATTCACATTTATAGTTGGGGACTTCAACACCCACTCTCAACAACTGATAGAACAACTACAGAGAAAATCAGCAAGATGTAGAAGAGCCCAATGACAGGTTTCAATAAGGCCTAAATAAAACGTATAGATTGCTCCAGCTGAAAATAATATAATTTACGTTACTTCAAACACCCAAGAAATACATACCAATATAGACATATTTTCAGTCATAAAACAATCTGCAAAATATTAAAAGAATTCAAATAATAAATGATGTTTTCTTTATGATGGAATCAAATTGGAAAACAGTAACAGAGAGACAACATGAAAATCTACAAACACTTAGAAATTAAAAAGCATGCTTTAAAACAAATTCATGGGTTAATGAGGTCTTAAAAGAAATAAAAACTACACTGAACTGAATGAAAGTGAAAATACAATGTATCAAAATTTGTGGGACACAGGTAAAGCTGTGCTGAGATGATAATGTATAAAACTAAATTTCTGTGTTAGAAATGAAGGAAAATCTAAAATTAATAATCTAAGCTCCCACTTAAGGAACCTACAAGAATAAGAATAAAATAAACCCAAAGCAAGCAGAAGGAAGAAAATAATAATCAAAATCAGTATACTGAAAGCAGTTTGATAGCAGAGTATATGGTGACTATAGCTAATAACAATGTATTGCATATTTCAAAATAGCTAGAAGAGAGGACTTGCAATGTTCCCAACACATAGAAATGATAAATATTAGCGACAATGGACACCCCAAGTACCCTAACTTGATACTTTCACAGTCTATGCATTTAACACAATATCATATGTACTGCATAAAGATGTACAAATATTTGTATCAATAAACATAATAATATTAAAGACAGAAAAATAATAGAGAAACCCAATACAAATCTAGTTCTTTAATAAAATTAATAAAATGTACAAATCTCTAGCAAGACTGACAAAGGAAAAAGGGAAGATGCAAATTATCAATACTCTGAATGAAAGGGAGATACTACTATAGACTGCAGACATGAAAAGGATAATAAGGGACTACTACTATGTATACACATACAAATCGGAAAACTTAGACGAAATGGACCAATCATTATAAAAGCGCAAACTGCCAAAATTTACCCAATATGAAATAATCTGAATGACTATATAATTATGAAAGAAATCAAATTCATAATTTAAAAATCTGAAATGAAAACTTTAAGCCCAGATGACCTCACTAAAGAATTATATTAGTTGTTTAAAGAAGAATTAGCACCAATTCTACATAATATCCTACAGAAAAGAGAAGAGGGAACACCTCCCAACTGATTGTATTACC